GGATAGGTTTGGGAAGCTGAGAACTTAGGTTGTGCAAAATTTCATGGCAATTGATTGAGGTTTAGGCACTTTATGAGAAATTAAGCCATTGTCACATTAAATGTTTTAGGATGTTCTCAAAGGATCCACACGAGAAACATAAGGGAAGAGAACAGAGTGCACTGGAAATGGTGTCGAAATCCTTTTTAAAGCAACCCATCCATTCCAAATGGAAGGTCCATATTTTATAGATTTATTTATTTTTGGAAGCCCCCTGCTCCCCCAACCCACTTACTTTAAACAAACCGATGGCCCCCCAAAAAATTACTTTGCCTGGCCTTCAATGCTTCCAGAAGGCACAGGCGATGTCACTATGCCTCATACTGCTTCCTGAAATGGCTGGGCATTCAAAATCCCATGAAAATGCACTGTTTCAATGGGCATGAAGTGCATTCTTGCAGGATTTCAAGCTTCCAGCTCTGGAAGGAGGCATATTGATGTGCCTCTCTGACGTGTTGCAGGCTGGGCTAATGTGCGTTATGGTGCACTGCTTTGCAAAAAAACAGTGCATGTGAATTTTTTTTCTATAGATGTTTATGGTGCATTGGCAGCCCATTCATTTATCATACTGCATGTAAAGTGCAAAGAGTGTCAATGTGCATTAATGTAATTCAATGCATCAAGACACCAATGTGTGAATGGGCTTAAACGAAAATCAACATGGGTTCCTTCACCTCCTCCTACCTACTACAACCACACCCAGACTTCAGAAGCAGAAGTATCTTGGTTCTCCAAATCATTTCTACAACACATATAGTTGTACTTGCCCACTTCAGCACAGGCACCTGAAATACATTTTCGTTAACTAAAACCACTATATCGGTTGGCCCTCTGATCGATGATGCATTCACCTGGCTCTAAAATGCAGTACGGATACCCTGCCCATTGCCCCCCTCCCCCCTGCTGTTGAGTAGGCAGTGCTGCATCTGAGGTCTGTCTGGGGGTATAATAGCTAGGAAGAGAAACCTACTGTATACTTTATTTGTGAAGTAAGCTTTTACCGTATATACTCGAGTATAAGCCGTCCCGAATATAAGCCGAGGGTGGGAAATGAGGCAGCTACTGGTAGATAGATACCAATAAAATTACATTAATATTTATTTAAAAGAAAAATAACCTAGCTCTGTAAGTGGAAAAGGGGGTACAGGGCTACATACAGATCATTTAATACATTCATGTTAGTATAATTGTAAATGTATTGTCTGCACTGTATTAGCAGTATATACTCTATATGTAGTATATACTGCTAATACAGTGCAGACAATACATTTACAATGATCCTCTGCTAACATGAATGGGTTAAATGATCCGTAGTACATGATATGTAGCCCTGTACTATGGATCATTTAACCCATTCATGTTAGCAGAGGATCATTGTAAATGTATTGTCTGCACTGTATTAGCAGTATATACTCTATATGTAGTATATACTGCTAATACAGTGCAGACAATACATTTACAATGATCCTCTGCTAACATGAATGGGTTAAATGATCCGTAGTACATGATATGTAGCCCTGTACTATGGATCATTTAACCCATTCATGTTAGCAGAGGATCATTGTAAATGTATTGTCTGCACTGTATTAGCAGTATATACTCTATATGTAGTATATACTGCTAATACAGTGCAGACAATACATTTACAATGATCCTCTGCTAACATGAATGGGTTAAATGATCCGTAGTACATGATATGTAGCCCTGTACTATGGATCATTTAACCCATTCATGTTAGCAGAGGATCATTGTAAATGTATTGTCTGCACTGTATTAGCAGTATATACTCTATATGTAGTATATACTGCTAATACAGTGCAGACAATACATTTACAATGATCCTCTGCTAACATGAATGGGTTAAATGATCCGTAGTACATGATATGTAGCCCTGTACCCCCTTTTCCACTTACAGAGCTAGGTTATTTTTCTTTTAAATAAATATTAATGTAATTTTATTGGTATCTATCTACCAGTAGCTGCCTCATTTCCCACCCTCGGCTTATATTCGGGACGGCTTATACTCGAGTATATACGGTACTTGATAAAAGGACTGAAATGCATTTATAAATCTCATTGGGCAGCACAGTGGCATAGTTGGATGGCACTGTGACTGGGCTGGTTCAAATACCAGCCAGGTCACTATGTGCAAGGAGTTTGCTTGCATTGGTTTCCTCTGGGTACTCCGGTTTTCTCCCACACTCCAAAGATATGCTGGTAGGTTAACTGGCTCCTCTCTAAATTGGCCCTCTTATGTATGCATGTGAAATAGGAACCTGGGATTTCAGAACAGGAATTTCCACATCTGCAGCTTCTCAGCCTGAAGCTACAGAATACCTCTGCCATTACTTGACCATGTAAGTGGACTTTCCAAAAACAGCTGTGTAAGAGCTCCTCGGGTGCAGGGACTGATGTGAATGTGTGAACGCTGCGTAAATTGTCGGTACTATATAAATACCTGTAATAAAATTAAATGTAATACAACATATAAAAATCATTTTTTTGTTTTTGAGTGCTGAAGTGTAAAATGAGTCCCCAAAGTGTTTGAGTGGCCTATTTGTCCTGGCCTTTTGGCTAAGATCAAGTGTAGTATCTATTCTTATCAGTTTTCGGTGGGGAAAAGAACCGTCCTTGCAGGGGATGGTTACTTAGTACTCGCTGGAGTGAAAGAGCGTGTAGGGCTGCTTCCTGTGAGAGGGGAACAGCTCGGTACATGGCTTTCTGACTGAACAGATGCGAAGCTTGGTCTGGCTGGAGGGTTGGGGGCGGCAGAAGCCCATGGTGTTGTGCCCCCTGGGGGTGGCATCCCAGGGGTGCTTTAGAAAATCAGTAGGGTGTGGGACCCCACAAGTGATTCACTGTGCAGTGGCGTAACCAGAGTTATGGGCGCCCGGGGCAGACATTTTTTTTCGCCCCCCCCATATTATATAAACATCCACTAGAACTGTACCCCACACAGTGCACTAGGACACGACACCATACTGCACTTTTCTGCACAACGCCTCCAAGACAGGCCTTATGGCTAGTCTGGGGCAATATTTTTTGCACTCCGGCCCCTAAGGCCTGTCAGCGTGGTGCACTGGCACTTTAGTATTATTTATTGCACGATTAGCTTTTTTTGATTGAAATGTATCCACAGATTGCGGAGGGTGTAGGTCCTTCAGGGCCTTTTCCCGATGCTGGGGGGAGATTCTGTGCCCTTTTATATAGGGTTGTCTGTCTCCCCCCACCTAGTACATTGAGGGACCTGTTCCGGCAGGTCCCCAGAGGATCGGGGTCCACCGGCCTTTGGGTTGGTGGACCAACAGACTCAACCCCTGTCAGGAGCCTTGCGTCCCGGGGGGTCGGGAAAGTTGGTCCCTTCTTTATTGAAGGACCAAGCACCCTTGTGCACGTTTTTGTGTGCTGTGATTTCACGGTTCACTTTTTTTGTTCACAGGTTCAAGTTGTTTTTCGATGCACGTTCCACAGGCTTAAAAAAAAAAAAAATTGTCCTGGTGGCCAACGTCACCAAAATCCTTGTAATGGGGACACCCACTGAAACTACTCTTTGCTCCTAATGATCTAACGTTGATCTAGTAATCATGTGACATCCTTATTATTATTATTATTTTTTTCAATTGATTGACTGAGCAAGAATTCTCCCACAGCAGTTTTTGGAAAGTCCACCTACATGGTCAAGTAATGGCAGAGGTATTCTGTAGCCTCAGGCTGAGGAAGTATGACACCTCATGAGAAATTGAGGATCTGGAAATTCCTGTTCTGAAATCCCGGATCTCACATGTGATCAGCTGACGGATAAACTACCAAGGAAAAGGGTTTTTTTTTGCAATGCCTGAAGCCAGAATGGCCTTTCCGGCTTGCGCAACATCATACCATAATAGGTGGCACTAGTCCGTGTTTTTTTTCCCCCTTTAATGAAAATCAGAGTAAAAACTCCTCATCATGGTATAAATAGTCAAATGATAACATAAAATTACATACCCTCAGCCCTGCATTTTTTCCCCCCTTTTTGGGGGTAGGGGTGAGAGTTGGCCAAGGAACCCTAATGGGGCCCCATGATCTGTAGTTACACCTATTTGATGTGGCTCTTTCTAGATGGTAACAAGAACTTAAAGACTTTCGTCTTCTAGTTAGCTGTGCACCTAAGTAGGGGCTCATTCACACAGGTGTGCACAACCATACAGTCTGCACGCCAATGCCTAGACCTATAATCTAAATATATATACACAGTATTTATTTATTATTATTATCTGTACACCTGTAATGTACAATTTCTGAAAGTAGAGTCCCTGTAGAATAAAATGGCAGAATTTGCAATGATATTAGCGTGAACTGTTTATCAAACTCACATTTTCAGTAAAAAATGCGGTGCCATTGACTTGAATGCACCGCCACACCCCCACCCACCCCAGAACACAGGGAGCCTTCACAGTTTGTGACTCATTGCTTTCCAGCAGCTAACCATGCTGGAACACACTGTAGATGGTGTGAACAGGCCCTAAAAAAATTAATAGGAAAAGTGAGACGGCCCCTAACCACAGAGCTAGGATCTAAGTGGCCATGAGCAATAGAAGAAGCCACAAGAGTGTAATAACCTCTCCTTCAGCAATATTGGTAAGTATTGGAGGATTATAATAATGGGCTATCTTAGATTTTAAGCTCCTTGAGGGTAGGGACTGATGTGAATGTGCAACTATGTAAAGTGCTGCGCTAAATAAATACCTGTAATAAATACATTTTTAAAAAAAATTATAATGGGCTTGAACCATTTTTGCAATGTTATTGTATGCAGGGGCGTATCTGCCGCGAGGCAAACAAGGCGTTTGCCTGGAGCGGCAGATTCGCTGAGGGAATGCATGCTTGTACAACAAGTTTGCATTGTTATGGTGATGACATTTTTGTATTTGCATAGTTATATATTTATCTCTATTGTCTTTCTCCAGTGACTCCTCTTCATAATGAAATCTCGTGCTCTGATCATCGCCATGACCGAGTTTCACAGTCGGCCAGGTGGGAATGGTATAAAGTTAGATCCCCGTAAAGGTGTGAAGCGTGACACAAAGCGCCTCTTCCGTATTCTCTCCGTTCTGGGCTTTGAGGTCACTTTGCACACAGATGTCACTGCCAGAGAGATCAGAGAAATCTACCGAAAAGGTAATAACAACACTTTTATAGTGTGGTCATAAAGGGAATGTATAGGTTTTTTTTATTGGATGTTATGTCATGTTACATAAACAGGCTTTCCTCATGCTTCATAGTGTTGCATAAGTTTCCCCGATCCTTTGCATAATGTGAGTTTGTGGGTCAGCTGACACACTGAAAACTATCCCCTCTCACTGTGGCAGATATCTTATTTCAGCAGCTGTTTAACAAGAAGGCAAAGTGACTGCCGGGAAATACAGGGTTTCCTGCAGTGGCCAACCTACAAATCTAGGTTAGTTTGGGGGATGGATGATGGGAATGGATAATGATTCATCCTAGACTAATTTTGTAGGTTGGGTGGCTACAAAATTGGAGAGTGGATGATGGGAATAAAGAACTACTCTTTATAGTTGGGATCTATAGGTTGGCTTTTAACAGAATTGGATGAGAGTGGATGAAGGAAATGGATAACTATTCATCATAGTCTGGTTCTGTAGGTCAGATGTCTACAGAATTGGATGATGGGAATGGATAACTAGTCATTATGTCTGGTTCAGTAAGTTGAAAGTCTATGGGAATTAAGTCCTGATGTGGACAGACTGTAGATGTTTGTATTGCAGCAAATTGGTGGTCTGCCATATTGATCATTGTTTTCTAAACTCCTTCTAGTTGATGGATAAATTGCCTCAATGTTCTAGAGCCTTGGTTCTCAACAGGTGGGTCGCGACCCCATGTTCAGTGGGTAGCCATGTGCCCTCCACTTTTCTAGGTGAGAGCCTCATAGCCTCCTCCCAGCACAGCACTGTCAGTTCTCACGCAGAGCAGCCATTCAGAATATGCTGCCCGACGTCGAGTGTCAGCTTCAGGTGGGGTGGGCTGGAGCTTTGACCATCAGGGAGCTCCATCCATCCATACATGCATTGGTTACGTGCCCTGTAGAAGTGCCTGAATCGGAGTGACGTCACATTCTGGCTCATGGCACCTCTACAGGGCATGCAAGGGAGTTGTACAAGCAATGCATGCATGTATGGATGGAGCTCCGTCACAGCAGCCCAGCACTGGATCCCCAGCTGAGGATCCATTCCAGTTCTCGTAATTGCACCCCAAACACACCTCCCATCCACAGTTCAATTGCCTGCACAGGAAAGCACGGTACCGCAATACCGTGCATTCCATTGCAGGTTGACTTGGGTCACCACTTAATGGCCAAGGACAAATGTAGGTCCTGAGGTTACACAGGTTGAGAACCACTGTTCTAGAGCAACACTTTATTCTGCAGTCCTAGTAAGACATTGCAAACCATTGTTTACAAGAAAGACACTTGGGCTTCTAAAGGAAGAGTTGTCATTATGAAACTCCATTACAAGATTTGTATGAAGTTCTCTTCTAAGCACCACTCACTGACCACTAAACATAACCCCAATGTCATTATTTTTTTCTATTAAGAAAACAATTCTAAAAGGTCTATTTATAAACATTTTTAAAGCCGTTGGTCCTGCAAATATATGTGAATGTTCATTCTATGTGAATGGAGACACAAAATGAATATTCCTGTTATATGTTCTGTATGAGTTGAATGTATTTTCGAATGTCATCTTGTAAGACTGCAATATGGCAACTAGATGGAGCAGATGAGCATAGGAAAGGTCCGCTTTCTGTTTCAGTATTTCTGATGTGTTACTGTTGCCATTATCCAACAGACCAGTTTGTGGATGATGGCCATTTATCTGGTGCCTGTTGGTAAATGACTACTCTGATGTTTTTCAGAAAGAACGAAGCCTCAAGGAGACTGTTTTATCAGCATAATTTCCAGCCATGGTGAGGAGGGGGTCATTTATGATTTCCATGGTGATCATGTGTACCTTAGAGACCTGTATGATCTGCTATCTCCGGACAACTGCCCAGCACTGGCTGGTGTACCCAAACTCTTCTTTATACAGGTAACTATGTACAAATGATGGTGGGACAGGTGGGTGGGTGAGATCTATGGCAGGCCTGTGCAACTCATATCTTCCTTATGTTGTAGGCATGCCGAGGAACATCGCTAGACCAAGGTGCCATCGTGGAGACTGATGGCGCTCCACAACAAATAAGTGCATTCTCTCATATTGACTTCCTCCCGAGGGACACTGTGGTCGTGTTTGCCAGCAGTGAAGGTAGGGGAAGCATATTATGTAACATTTCCTATATCTAAACTTTAAGATCATACCCACCCAGTCTAAATTAAAACTCTGGTTCCTGTTTTTTAAGTAATTTTACTAAAAACTGTGACAGGACCATCATTTGTTCTTCTATAATCTGTTCACAATGTTCAGCTTCCTGCTGCAAAACTTCCAAAGGCTTTATCTTGTACCATGATATATAGTCACACGACAGTCAGGAATTATTCTTTCTTGACACCACCATCCCATGAGATTTTGTGGACTGGCTCCTTCAACACAAGTCAATTAGAAAAAATTGAGTTTTGTTGACATGTTGGTTCCAATGACGGGGCAATGTACTGCTGGAATTTCAGCCAAGTCAGCAGGAGCACATGGCTAGCTCAGAAGATTGCATATGACTTGCTGTTGAATCCATGTTGCTCACTTTTACAGTTGTAAAATATCACAAGTCTTAGTAATGCTTTGTATTGGTAAATCATTAAAGTATACAGAGTAGTATTTTCATCGAGCTCATCCTTTACATGGTGTTCTATTCTTCATAGGTTATGCTGCATTCAACAATCCTATGGGCTCAGTCTTCTTGCAGACGTTGTGTGAAATGCTCAGTGGAAAGGAGAAGGACCTCGAACTGACTCAGCTCCTTACTCGTCTTAATCATCTGGTGGCCTACAAGTTTGAAAGCAAAGGAACATATGGAGGGTGCAAAGAGATGCCATGCTACATTACTAACCTCACCAGGGACCTGTACCCATTCCGAGGAAGGACATAGACCTGGTCCTTGTAGTTTACCATACGCACATTTTACACTGCCATGTTTTCTCAACTGAATGGTTGACTTGCACATTTGTATTAACTCCCACATGTAGCAAAATGCAGCAGACATTACCGAATATCTGGAGATATTACAGAGGGGATAACTCCAAATTTTTAACGACAACATGAACTTAGAGACGTCTATTCAGAAGACACAATGTGCCAAAACATGTGCTCTTCTGAGATATTTCAGTCAATGGTGACAAACACATCACCAGGGAAGAAAACACTGGCATGCCACCTCATATAAACAGATGCTAAAAATAAGGTGCACAGAATAAGAGAACCGTACGTTGCTCAGTCACTTGAATATTTCACACGTTGTAGTCTAGTGCAATGGTGGGCAAAACATCATAGTGGCTAACTGCATTGCATAAGCTTTAGCTGGCCAGTCACTTGATTCCCTGATCAACGTTAGTGTGGATGGAGGAATCTTCACCTGCTAGCTATCTGATTAGATGTTGGAGCAACACTTTTCCACTTTTTTAAATCCAAGTTTGTTGAGCCGGATGGTGCCAAAAAGGCCACCCATGGCTACAATTATGCCTTATTCATCAGTAAACGATCAATATTTGAGCTATGTATGGTTAGCTCAAGCTCTTTACCACCTCTTGTTGCCATTATGGATCCTTATTACCATTTTATTACATTTCCTTCATGAGAGCACTACATCTGTACAATGCACCCCTCTGGGTCCTGGCTGAAATGCAAGGCGTGTATGGCAAACTTTAGAGTTGGTTGAATAACAAAGGCTGTTTTCCAGTTGATCACTGTGGGCTAGTACACACCATTGTTTAGACAATTGTATTAGATAAGCTAATGTGCAATTCAAAAAGGCAAAAACATTTCATGTATATTATTATTATTATTATTATTATTATTATTATTATTATTATTATTCAGGATTTATATAGTGCCAACAGTTTACAATCACAATACAATTCAAGACAAGATTGTAAGGAGGGCCCTGCCCCTGAGGTCTTACTCAGACTAAACAATGTACCAGTGACTTGGTTCAAGACATGACCTCTATTCATCAATTATCATCAATCCTCTTCCCTCAGCCATCATCTTCTATCAATAGACAATTCTGTACCGAGCCAAAAGTTTCACTATAGGGAAACGTGACACGTCTAAGGCATAACACACAGAAGAGACTGAAACAGGATCATTTTTTAAAACGCTGTCCATACAGGGACAGTGATGGCATTTGTGCTTCATATCTTAAAGTAAACCTGTATTATAGTTCTAAACGTCTACATTAGAAGCCATGCCCAAAAGCAGACAAGAGATGCCCATTCCCTATGTAAGCCAGAAAAGCCTTTGCGACCCTCCTAATTTCATTTCACTTCGATTAAATGTCATTACATTGTTAGGGCCCCGCGTAATGCTGAAGCCCTTCAATTTGACATTCTACTGTCCAACGAGGCTGCCTTGGTCAGCAATAAGGATAGTGGAATGACAGTTATCAGGGCTTGACCATGGATTCAGGGAATGTTTAGCCCAAGTATCGGAGTGAAGTTGAAGAAGATGGGGACATAAGGGGGGGGTTATCAAAACTGGAGCAAGCAGAGTCTGGAGAGGTCCCTCAGAGTCTTTTCTAGCTAATATAGGTAATATCAGGCATCCTGTGGTTTGTTTGTGCTCTTAGATATGAATTCTCCTTTAGAACTTTAAAACTGAGAAGTCCACAGGCTGTATTCTGACTGTAGATGTGGCCCACAAGGCTTCATAGGCTGTATTGTGACTATAGATAGGGCCCACAAAGGTTCACAGGCTGTATTATGACTATATATTTGGCCCACAAAGGTTCATAGGTTGTATTGTGACTATAGATAGGGCCCACAAAGGTTTACAGGCTGTAATGTGACTATATATTTGGGCCACAAAGGTTTACAGGCTGTATAGTGACTACAGGTGAAACTCGAATAATTAGAATATCGTGCAAAAGTAATTGCAGTAAGTGCTGCAAAAGGGGCCCAAACCAAGTACTGAGTACATATGCATGCTTGTACTTTTCAGAGGTCCGATATTGTTCTATGTACAATCCTTGTTTTATTGATTGCATGTAATAATCTACTTTTTTGAGGTTGTGGATTTGGGGTTCTTGGGGTTTTCATGAGCTGTAAGCCATAATCATCACAATTATGACAAATCACGGCTTGAATCATCTTGCTTTGCATGTAATGAGTCTATCTCATATATTAGTTTCACCTTTTAAGTTGCATTAGTGAAATAAATGAACTTTGCACGATATTCTAATTATTCGAGTTTCACCTGTATATATTTGGCCCACAAAGGTTCACTGGCTGTAATGTGACTATAGATATGGCCCACAAAGGTTCACAGGCTGTATTGTGTCTAATGGATATGGCCCACAAAGGTTCACAGGCTGCGTATTATGACTATAGATGTGGACCACAAAGGTTCACTGGCTGTATTGTGTCTATGGCTATGGCCCACAAAGGTTCCCGGGCTGCGTATTATGACTATAGATGTGGACCACAAAGGTTCACTGGCTGTATTGTGTCTATGGATATGGCCCACAAAGGTTCACAGGCTGCGTATTATGACTATAGATGTGGACCACAAAGGTTCACTGGCTGTATTGTGTCTATGGATATGGCCCACAAAGGTTCACAGGCTGCGTATTATGACTATAGATGTGGACCACAAAGGTTCACTGGCTGTAATGTGACTATAGATACGGCCAACAAGGGTTCATCATGACTAGATTTAGTCTGTATAAACACGCATACAGTTGAAGTGACTTTCCTGGCCGGTTTACATGTTCTGAGTCAGTTACTCGTAAAACACTGAAGCCCCCTTGGGTTAGCAAGATAGCCAAGAAGAAGATGCGCTAGGGCAAATCTTTATTTTAAGATATTTGGCAGCATAAACTTGCACTTAAAGCCGCCAATTTAATTGCATAATGGATATGTTACTGGAATAATGCTCTAATAATGGAGTAATTGTGTGCTTAGGAGAAATGAATAATGTAAGAATCTTTAGGAGCTCGTACTATTTATTATTTATTTGTAAACCCTCTTATATATTTGAAATAAAGTTGTATTTATTAAATTGGTGTACAGTTATTTCTGCTTCAGTACTAGCGCAGCATCAGATGAAACAAATATACATCACCCAGCAAAGAATTTCTTTACATTTTTGGCCAAGCACCTACAGTCATCATGTCTCTGAACAGCTCCTACTCTCTCAGCTCAGCTTCCCTGAACCTCCTGTCCAGTACAAGATCACAAGGGACAGAGCAATCTCCAGGAGCTGTCCACCTACTGGCTTGGAAAAGGGAGCAAGGAGGATGGGGAGCAGGGGGTGTCCTGCCTTGCAGTGTCTGTGGAGGTGGGTGTGGGCTAGTGTTGATGGGTGAATGCAAGGTGCTTTTAGATGCAATCCACTGGCCTTTTGGGATGCTTCTGAGATGATCCACAATTCATTGATGGGTGCATTTGACCTGCAGATGACCTCCTAGGCCAGGGGTGCCCATTAGGTCGATCACGATCTACCAGTCGATCGCAAAGCGAACTCTGGTAGGTTATGTGTCCTGTCCTCCCACGGTGCTCGTGCAGCTAAATGTGTCAGACGCCACAGACAGGAAGGGGGACACCTCTCCCCATGTGCAACGTCGCCCACACGAGCACCGCGGGAAGACAGGACGCGGGCGCACGAGAGGAGACCTGGGAAGCTGCTGCATTGGAGGTAAGAAAAGACAGACAGGAGAGAGACAGCAGAGAAAGTGAGAGAAGAGGCAGCAGAGAGAGAGAGATGAGACAGCAGATAGAAACAGAGGATATAGCGAGGAGAGAGAGAAGAGACAGCCAAGAGAGAAGCCCTGTTCACACCACAAAGTCTGCGTTCCAGAGTGTTACGCCGGCTCCCTGAGTTTACAGGCGGGAGGGGGTGTGGCGGTGCATTGAAGTCAATGGCACCGCAGTCACGCCCCCTGCCAGCAGTGCGATCGCCTACACCCAGAACGCAGGCACATTACTGCCTGCGTTTCAGTCCAGTGCGATCTGCAAAATTAGTGCTTGCAGCATTTTTGCAGATCACTAATGTGCCTGCGTTCTGGGTGCAGGCGATCGCACTGCTGGCAGGGGGCGTGACTGCGGTGCCATTGACTTCAATGCACCGCCACACCCCCTCCCGCCTGTAAACTCAGGGAGCCGGCGTAACACGAGAGAAGCAGTTCTGGTGTGAACAAAAGCCCATCAACACTAACCCATCAAGCGCTATGTAGTATAGTGGCCTTCCTGACTGTATATTGGACTTTGTTATGTACGTCTTGGGTTTTAGAGTCCTCAAACATATTGCAGAATTTCTTTATATTCTGCAGTCAGAAGAAGCATCGGAGGAGTCATTTGATAATTACAAAGGTGAAAGAAGTCTTTCTCGCACAATTATGGTCAGATGACTATTCATTATTAGAATTAAATAAATCTGATTTTTCATGCCGCACTATAACCCTTGTACCTTTCTATCCAGATATCAAGTGTGCCATGGACTTAGGATGCTGGTTGGCTCACGCATGTATGGCTTGAATGCCGAAAGCTTGTTTTTGAGACAGAGGCGTAAACATACTCACTGATATTGTCTACGTGTGCATGTATACAGATATTTCCTTCAGCATGCAGCTTGGGGTATATGTTCTGAGGGCTCCCCTAGACTAAAATCTGGACTGCGTGCAAACAGGTCTATACGTAATTGAAGAACATATACATATTCATTAAAACATCAAAAATACATTTTTAAAGCCAGCTAGTGTAAGTTCATAAATATGCTATTATGCCCTTTAAGGCCCCTATACAGCAGCACTCGGTATGGGAAGGAATAGCAATAGGTCCTAATCAGCTGTGAATTTCTGCATACACGTAGAAATGTTTCACCTGCCAAAGGATTTGTATGTCTCTAATGCCAGTCCTGAGGTTTATACGGCCCTAC